CGCAAATGTTGCCGAAACGTTAGTTGAATTTTGGACTTGTTTGTCTATATACAAAGTCTATGACTTGTTTTTATAATAAATGATCGTTGGACCAAAGAAAAATTTGATTTTTTTGACAATTATTGTAGTTAATAATTAATTGATCAAAGACTAATTAAAATGGGTCCATTTGTTCAAGAGATATTATAGGTTTCGATGAAGAGAATGAAAAAATTGTCCACTGTGCGCCATTGAGTTTGCGGTATGCGAGTAAAGGGGGAACGAATGAAAAAAAGAGAGACTCTATACACTCAGCCAACTAACAACGAGGCGAACATGCAAGCGGGAAAAGAGGAGCTCCTCCGTCACGTGTTAACCGGATAATGGGTTAGCCAATGTGGATGACTCGCCGTCTTTTGATAGGCAGGTGAGAAGTGAGAAGTCTCGCTTGGCGAGTGTCAACGCTATATACGGAGACCAGCCCTTACATTTTTTTTCAAACGTCTTAACGTCTCATATGGGTACACTGCATAATGTCGCCACAAGGACTCCGTATCCCGCGGATTCTTCACCAGGCAAACATAATTCATATGGAATTTAATTTCTCTCCTCTTTCTCTGTACAATATTACAACACGATCAATACAAAACGGTGAAAAAAAATTCTTCTTTCAAACAGTTTATAGTAGCCTGTTAGTCTTGCGTCGAAATCGAGCTAAATCGGACGTTTTAACGATGTCCGTTTATTAACAATGCCTTTCTTTTCGTCTCTCAATTCTTCTCTTATTTTTTTCTATCCTTTTCCATCTCTCTCTTTCTCTACTTCTCTTTCTCTCTCTATTCGACCCATTGACCAAAAAGAGTTAAAAATTATATAAAATCTACGTGTCTTCTATCCTCAGACAACTCTCCAATTTATTATCGTCATTAGCAATTTTTTCAATTTACCCCCAAAACATAGATTTTCACAAAAAGAAAAAAATTTTTCCGACTCAAGAATATTTTCCTCGAGGGGAACAAAATGGAAAATTTTATTCGACTATAGGCATTTTTGGTTTACATTTCGAAAATAAGTAGCATTAAAACAAAACAGAGGGGAATTGAAGGTCGCAATACAATTTTCCCGATAAAAGAAAAACTGTGAGGAATAGATTAAAATTAAAAATGAGAGAAAAATAAATAGTGTAGAGAAAATTGTGTTTTATTGTATAAAGAAGGAAAAAAATTTGTAATTTGATAATTAAAGGAGAAATAGAAACTATTGAGTGTAGGCGGAGGTTTGATAGTGAAGGTAGTTTATTGGGGAGTTTGAGGTTTTGGCGAAAGCGTTGGTGGGACCATATATAGGAGAATGGAATGAAAATATTCAAAAGGCGACCACGTGCATTCTAATCGCGACTTCCCGAAATCAGGAAAACAGAAGAGTTAAGGAAGGCATATGACGTTTATTGTTGGTCTGCTTGTGATAAGTTGACTCGCTAACTCGTTGTTCTCGTCTCCTGATACAAACGCGGGCTCCTTATTCGGTTGTAGGTGGAACGATGACTCTCTCTCTCTCCTCATCCCCACTCTCTTTCCGCCGCGAATGCATTCACTATTGACGTCTTCTCTTATCATATCGCAAAAAAACGTAAGCAGAATTCGTAATAATAATAATAATAATAATAATAATCATTTTCTTTCCTTCTCAGTCGCGCAAATTTTACATTTTCGATAATTTTTTATTATTAATAATAATTTAGCAAATGTTACGCGTATGAAACATGGTATTCAATTTATTATTATTATTATTAATATTCTGCAAATTACAAAACTTTTTATTTTATTTTTGAATAATTATATACTTATACAAAATTTCAAAAATTCACACATTGAATTCAATTATTTTCAAAAATAATAAAATTTTTCTTAGGAATTCAATTATTTTCAATGCAAGTTTAATCAAATTTAATTCCCCTTCCTTTAATTAATTTAATAAAATTTCTCAAAAGGATTCAATTATTTTTAAAGTAATAAACTTTTTCGCAAGAATTTAATTATTTTTATGAATATTAAAATTCGTCACAAGAATTTAATTATTTTCAATATAATTTTAATATAATTTCACTAAAGAATTCAATTATTCTAAAAAGTTGGATAAAAATCCAATTATTTTCATAAATAATAATTTTTTTTGTAAGAATTCAATTATTTTTTATATATAATAAAAATTTTCTCAGGAATTCAATTCTTTTTAATACATAACATTTAATAAAATTTCTCAAAACGTTTCAGTTATTTTAGAAAATTGTAATTTATACATTTTTTTAGCAAGAATTCAATTATTTTTAATACAACTTTAATAAAATTCTTAAAAAGGATTCAATTATTCAATTATTTATGAAAATTGTAATGAAATTAATCGCAACAATTCAATTATTCCAACAAGTTTGGATAAAATGTTTTTTAAGAATTAAATTATTTTTATTCAATTTTTTTCTGTACAATTATTATAGAATTTTCTCCAAAGAAGTCAGTCATTTTCAAAAACTGTAATAAAATTCTGTGAAAAATTCAATTATATCGACAAATTTTTCAATTAAAATTGTTAGGGGTCGTCCATATACCACGTGGACACTTTTTAGACACTTTTTGACCCCTCCTCCCCCCCTCGTGGACAATCGTGGATTTTTGACGAACCCCTCCCTCCCCCCCTGATTGTCCACGTGGACAATCGGGTTTTTTATTTTAAAATAGTGAATAATAAAAAGATATTTAATAAGAAATACAATTAAAAAATTCTTTAAATTTTTTTATAACAAACTTCTTTAAAATTCAATAAAGATTAAATTATCTTAAAATATTATTAAATAGGTAAATACCATTTTTAGTATTATAGAGAGGACTTTGGCAGCAATATATCATCAATTATTATATTAGTAGAAATACTTAATCTCTTCTGTAACAAATCTAAAAATTTTCTAAAATCCAATAGCTTTGAGCCTTCACATAAACAATAATAGAAATTATTTTTTTTAGAATTTGTAAGAGTTTGTAGAGGTTGCTTTGTATTCCTAATTGTCAAATTTGCATATATTCATATTTGTGCATTTACGATAATGATTTTGTAATATAAATTAAAAAAGAATTTGGCGTTTTTTTGACAGTTAAATAAATTTCGGATTACAAATATTGTCTGATCACAATCTAATAATAATCTAATAATAAAGTTGAATATAAAGAAAAAAAAGATATAAAACTAAACTTTTGTGTCCACGTGGACATTTGTATTGACCCCCCCCCCTCCCCCCTCGTGGAAAATCGTGGATTTTTGGCGAACCCCCCCTCCCCCCTAAACTGTCCACGTGGTATATGGACGACCCCTTACAAAAAACTACAATATTTTCAAAAAAAAACTTAAAGAAATTCTTTAAAATTTTCCTGAAAAGAATTTAATTTTCTATCAATAATTTTAATAAAATTTAAGAATAAAAGTAGGGGAGACTGGAGCGAAAGGTTAAATTTTGCATAAATGATTTCTTTTATACAATATAATACGCTTAGATGCAAATATTTATATATCAATATTGTAGGGCAGCTTGTCCTTTACAACTTTGAATAAAAAAGTTTCTGATATTTTTGCGTAAAATACATGTTTTGTCCTTTTTTGAAAATTTTGTTTTTTTTACATTTCGCCCCATGCTGGGGCTAAATGTTAAATTCTATTTCTGGCCTACTAAAACTACTTTCTGATAGGTGTTAAGTAGTAGATAAGTTAAAGTATACGCAAACAAGTAATTTAGTTAATAAAAGATCTGTGTTTATTTAACAAAAGCTTTAGAACAGTTATAAAGTTAATAAATTAAAATTTAAAAAAAAATTATTTTTTGGTTTATTTCACGTGAACGGTCTTGTTTTTTTGACAGAGTACTTGCCTAATGTCAAATAAATAATTTTTAAACAAATAAACCCGAAAAAAACGAAAAATGTAAAAATATTTTTAACAACATGTAAAAATACATTTAACATTTAGCCCCAGGGTGCATTTTTGACTTTAAGAACAGATATAAAAAATCTGACTAAAGATATTTAGCAAATACCTTTAGGTATTTCTTCAGTGTACCCAAATAAGGACCTAAAAAATCGCGATGAGAATAAATTCAAAAAATATTCTTAAAAGTTGATATTTTCTTTTACGAAAAAATTTTCAAAAGTAGGGTGAAAACAAACTTTAAATATGGACACGACAAAAATGAACAGAATGTCACATAACTCTGGACATTTATTTAGGGTGATAACACCCTTCTATAATTAAAATTGCAATGCTCTAACTATTTCCGTTCGAAAGATAATGAATTTTAACTGTTTTCACAGTTTAACCTTTCGCCCCAGTCTGCCCTAGTAATTACAATTATTAACAGCATAGATTTTATTAAAGAAATGAAAGAAATTCTTCGAAAGAATTCAATTATATTCAATATATTTTAATAAATTTCCTTGACTGAATTCAATTATTTTTAAAAAATGTAATAAAATACTGGGAAAAAATTAAATTACTTTGCCAAAAAATTTCTTTAGTATTTACTTAATTTAATAAATGTTGTCATTTAGAATTTGAAATGTATGAAAAATTAGAATAAGTTAAATTACAAAAACATTAATAATAATTTGTGTAAAATCAAAAAAAAAATATTTTTTCTATATTATTGTAGAATATAATTGAAGTGAAACAATAATTCTATAAAAGCTGCAAAAACATTTTGGATTTAAACAATTTACAAGGAAAAAGAAAAATTATTTGAAAAACTCTTCAATTCTTCAGAAAATTACAATTTTTCTAAAATTACAATAAAATTCAAAATTTTTTTCTTTAACGCAACTAAAAATTTTATAAATCACAAAAAAAATTGCAATTTCTGTAAATTTTTTATGGAATATATGATTTTAGATATTTTAAGGGTTTTTCTGAAATTTAAGGTCAGAAAAAAGGACCAACTTTTATGATCCTTTTTATTATTCTTTTAATAAAAATTAATATTAATATTATTTATCGTTTATCTATTTATTTATTCAATTTTTGAAATTATATTAATACAAGAATATTATTTAGTACAATTATTTGTATTTTCGTAAAAGTGAAATGTGAAAATTCGCAGTTTTCATAAAAAATTACAATGCATTTTGAATAATGTTACTTAAGAGTATTTTTGCTACAAAAAATTAATATACCGCAGTACAAAGTTATAAAAAAGAAATACCTTTTCGAAAAATTTTTACAGCAAAAACTTATTTTAAGATTAAAACAATTTTTTTCTTCTTACGCAGGTAAAAACTTAATTTTAATAAAAAAAGGCAAAAACGTTTTTGACAATTGAGAAGAAAATGTAAATTTTAAAAAGTAGATTCCTTCTTGAGTAGCGAACAGACGATAAGCGACATTCTACCATTCTGTGATAATAATACTTCAGAGTTCAGTAACATTCTGCTAGATGTCATGAAGCTTACGAGTTTAAACATAATTCTGTTTTACTCAACTCTGATAACGAGCATTTCAAAATCAATAATAACTGAAGAAAATTTATCCAAAAATTACTAATTTTAACATAAGTAATAATTTTTAACTATAAAAGAAAAAGAGAAAAGTAGACATTTTCCTTGTGTCGGATAATAAAAATGTAAGGGGAGGGGATTTTTTTTACACAAATCTCAAACGCTTGGGACAAAAAATAAATTTCTGAAAATTAAATATAGGGTTTTTTTTCTTCATTTTTCGTAATATTTGCAAATAATGGAAACAGAGTTTTTTTGTTTTCGAACTAAAAAAAATTGGAATTTTTGACGATTAAAAAATGTTTAAATGTCCAATTTAATCTTCTTCGTCGCTTACGATTATACGGGTTTGTTTTATTTTCGGAATTTTTGCGCTTTCGTGATCTTCCTCCTCTTCGTCGTCGCTCTGCAACACTCGACGTTTTTTTGTTAGAGGCGTATCTTTCTCTGAATTCTCTGAGCGTTCCCTTTTCGATTCTTCTAAAATGTAAAATTCACCAAAAACTAAAGTCAAATCAAGAGAGAAAAAAATTCGACATTTTTAATTATAAAACAAAAAAAGGAATACATTTTTTTATATTGAATTGACTTGTTTACATTTTGAAATAGAAAAATGTCTTGAAAAAAACTTTTTGTCATTACTAACTCACTCAAATTTGGAATGATGATTTTTGGATTTTCAGTTTCGGAATCCGAAGAATTGGAGATTAATTGAATTCTTTCCGTTTTTGATTTTCGGCTTGCTGACTCTTCTTTTTCTGAAATGGAAATAAATTGAAATTTTTTTTCTTTTTATTTTTCCAGGGGGAGATGGAGAGAATGGAAATTGTTCTCAACACTACACAATCGATTGGAAGTACAACATGTATATATATAGTAAACTTGGAGAAAAGCATTTACTGTGTGAGTATTGATGACTATATTTCCAATAAATATAATCTGACTTTTGTACTTGTAAATTTGATTAGAAAAGTTTTCTAAAATAATAAAAAATATAAAAAATAATAATTAAATTACATTTGAATAAAAATAAACTTTCAATAATTTTAAATAATTTGATTTATAAAGGTTTTTTATTTTGACTGAAAAGGGAAGAGGTTTATAAAAAAATATTCTATTAAATAAAAATTCAGCTAAAGAAAGTTTTTATTGACAGAATTAATTATAACCTTCACGCTACCAAAGATTTTTTATAACGCAGGCTCCGATACGGTCACCCAGGGTGTTTATTTAAACAATTTTGAAACAAATTATTGTTGTTATTTACCAAATTTTTACTGAATGCACCTACAAATTTGCTGTTTTTTCCTAATTTTGCAATTTACTAAATTCTATATGATCACAGATAAAAATTAAATTATTATTTAAACAATTTTTAAACAAATTAATAATTTGTTTATAAATTGTAATCTGTAATCATATAAGGTTTAGTAAATTGCAAAATTAGTAAAAAAAACTGCAACTTTCTAGATGCATTCCGTAAAGAGTTGGTAAATAACAACAATAATTTGTTTAAAAAAATAAACCCGGGTAATTTTCAGTAGTCTCGTACATACTTTTTAATTGTTATAAATAAACAAGAAGAAATGAAAAAAAAAAATTTATTTTTTTATTTTTTGAAAGTAGATAAAATTTTGTTCAGTGACTTGAAATCGCGATTCCATTGATGCAAAAGTCGAGCAGATTTACAACTTTTTTCATAATTTGGTCACCCCGGGTGACCTCTCCGGAGCGCGAAGGTTAAAAAAGTATAAAAAAGTAGCTTAAAAAATAGTAAAAAACTGTTGTAACCAAGAATTGAATTTGATGACTCCATTTTTTCATAATTTCTAATTTATATTATATGCAAAAATAAAATAATTTTTTAAAAATAAATATTTAAATATCTATTTATTTTTACACAAGAATTAAAATATTTAAAATGATTTCAGTGTAAATAAATGTAAACAAATAATAAAAAAATATGAATCAAAAATAAAATCAAAATCAAAACAATCATATGATTTAAAAAAAAAGATATTATATTTCTTAAAATTGAATTCTTATAAAGAACTTTATCAAAATTTTCTAAAATAATTGCATTCTTCTAAAGAGTTTATCGCAATTTTTAAAAATAATTGAATATTATCAATAAATTTTGTTAAACTTTTTAAAAATAATTAAATTCCATCAAGAAATGTTGTTTATTGTACAAAAAATAATTTATTTTTGCTGAAAAAAACTTTTTAAATTTCTTTTTTAAATAATTCAATTTTTTGGGGAATTTTTATTGAAATCATAGATATTGAAAAAAATGAATTTCAATAAATTTTGAAATTAATTAAATTTCTGTGAAGAATTTTATTAAAATTTATTGAAAATAATTGAATTTCAACAAATTTTTTAAATTAATTGAATTTTTACGAAGGATTTTATTAAAATTTTTTGAAAATAATTGAGTTTTTAGAGAAAAATTGCATTAAAATTTTGTGAAAGTAATTAAATTCTTTTAAGAAATTCAATTAAAAATGTTTTGAAAATAATTATTAAATTTTAATAATCAAATTATGTTAAAATTCTGTTGAAACATTTAATTTCTTTTGAAGAATTTTAGTAAAATTTTCAAGATTAATTGCATTTTTCGAGGAATTTATTTAAAATTGTATTGGAAATAATTGAAATCCTGCGATGATTTTTATTAGTTACGAAAATAATTGAATATTTACAAACCCAGTAATAAGGGAGGAATTAAAGTGGATTGGCACTTTTATGCTCTTAAATTCCAAACCAATTCCGTTTTTGTCCGCAATCTTAATGAATTCCTTTTCTATTGTTAAATTGATAATTTCTATCCAATTCAATTATCTGTAACCACGTGACCAGAATTTGAAACCCCTTTAATGCCCTTTAAAGAATTCAATGTTAATTAAAAGGCATTAACTCCACAACAAATGATTCCCTTAAACGGCATTAAAGTGATTTCAGACTCTGGTCACGTGGTTACAGAGAATTGAATTGGATAGAAATGATCAACTTAACAATAGAAAAGGTATTCATTAAGATTGCGGACAAAAACGGAATTGGTTTGGAATTTAAGGGCATAAAAGTACCAATCCACTTTAATTCACCCCTTATTACTGGGAAGAATTTTATAAATTTTTTTTGAGGAGGAAGTCTACTGTGGCAAAGGAAAAACGTCCGATTTTGCGGATTTTTTTTTCTAACAAAATATGACTGGTATATTAAATTAAACCGTGATCTTTATTATACATTCAAGTATTTGTAAAAAAAATTTTAAGTCGAAATATTCAAAAATGCCGTCGTGACACTCCTTCAAGCGCAAGCGCCTTTTTTTAGGTGCACAAACGGTGTACATGAAATCTCACGTCTGGGTGATTTAATACAAAAAAACAAAATATGGTTGTCATCTACATAATATTGACTCTCGGCTGACGAAGGATTTTGTCGATAAAAAATTTTGGCGCCGAAAAAAAAATTCATGAAATTTTTTTTCTACATTTGATTTATTATTGTTTATACCAATTAAATAAAAAAATATATCGACAAAATCCTTCGTGAGACGAGAGTCAATACTATGTAGATGACAACCATATTTTGTTTTTTTGTTTTAGATCACCCAGACGTGAGATTTCATGTACACCGTTTGTGCACCTAAAAAAGGACAGGCTTGCGCTTGAAAGAATGCCACGACGGCAATTTTGAATATTTCGACTTAAAAATTTTTTTTACAAATACTTGAATATATAATAAAGATTACGGTTTAATTTAATTTAATGTACCAGTCATATTTTGTTAGAAAAAAAATCCGCAAAATCGGCCTGCTTTTCCCTCGTCACAGTAGACTTCCCCTTAATATCAATTTTTTGGGAAATTTTTTATTAGTAGTAAATATTTAAATGTAATTGAATTCCGAAAAATTTGTTGAAAGTAATTAAATCGTTTGAAAGAATTTCATTAAAATTTTTTGAATTGTTTTTAAGAATTTTATTTAAATTTTTCAGATTTTTATTCCATCTACTAGCGAATTTAAAGTAATGCAAATTATCTAAGAATGAAAAAAGTAACTTTTATAGTCAGAAATTAAAAAAAGTATTCAAATTGTAAATTCCAAAGAAATTTCGCTGAAAAGAAGAAGATAATTTCCAAAAAAATTAAAATTAATTTATAATATTTCATAAAGAATTTCTTGATGAAATCTTCAATTTAGTGGAAATTGGATATTGTAAAATCCGCAATTTAGTGGAAATTTTAGACAAACGAATTTAAGGGGAATATTCATAGATTGTGTAACTAAAATCGATTGTAAGTACCATTGAAGTCAAAGTTCATTAATTGTAACTATTAATTATTATTATCGACTGAAATCAAGGGTGTAGAAATGAAATTTTGTCTATGTGGGCAAGTAATTCTCTCATCACCCTAGTTTATGAAGTTTTACCTACAATTATAAAAAGTAATTACAATTAAAAAATTTAATTTATAAAAAAGAAATTTATCGAAAATTTGACAATATTTTTTTTAAATTGTTACTTATCACAATTTTTAACTACTTAAAAAAAATTATTTAGCCATAAATTTTGTTTTTATTAAATCAATCTTTAATGTCCGAGTTGACAATATTCAAATTATGTGAATAATACATATAAATAAACATAATTTTCAGCTATACAAAGACATTATAACTTAAAAAACCACCAAAACAGATCTTTTATTAATTTTTCGCGAGGAATTCAATGGTCATAAAACAAATTGGGTCAAAAAATTTTTATTTTTTGTAAAACATTAAATATTTAAAAACCCATAAGTAAATTTGTAAAAAGTATGTTTATTTATCTAAAAGAAAGATAAATCTCTCAAAATTTTAATATTTACTGTTTTTGAAGCATTTTTTTGGGGAAAAAATTAATTTTTTTTAATGTAAATAAAACAGTGAATTTTTCTATTTCATAAAACTTCTATCTTTCATGAAAAATATAAATATTCTTTAAATTTCAAAAAGAACTTTACAAATTTAAATGATTTTTATTACTTAAATTTACAATTTTAATTACACAGTAAATATTACAATTTTGAGAGATTTATATCTCTCTTTTAGTTAAATAAACATATTTACCTCTCAGTATCCCCTTAATAATTATTGTAAGTTATATTTTTTAATAATAATTATTATTATCCAAGAAACAAACCAAAAAAAATTAATAACAATTAATAATAAATTAAAATTAAATTATAACTCTTACTCGAATTTAAATTGACGATATTTTTCGTGCTTTCCGTTTCGGAATCCGTTGAATCTGACACTGATTGAATTCGTTTCAATTTCAAATTTTTAGTCGTTTTCTCTTCTTTTTCTGAAAAACAAAAAAAAAACCAAATCAATTTTAGATATTTATGCATTCTATTAAAAATTTTTGTTTTTTCAATATAAAATACTCACTCGAATTTAGAGTCGAAATTTTTGTTATTTCCATTTTGGAATCCGAGGAATCCAACACTAATTGAACTCGTTCCGTAATAGTTTTTCGATTCGCTTTATTTTCTTTTTCTGAAAAATGCATTTAGAAAGATAAAGGTCAGAAATTATATGCAATTGTTATATTTTTATAACTTTAAGGCATTGGAATAACTGTATGGTAGAAAAGGAGCTTTACACTGAAAAAAAATATTCTTGTTTTAAGAGGATTCCTCTTATTTCTATGCATATTTTCCTCTTGTATATGGCTCAAAAAACGTCCTCTTATTTTAAGAGGATTATTCTCCACTTAAGAGAAATTCCTCTTAAAAGTAGAGAAATAGTCTCCAATGAAGAGTAATATTCTTAATTTAAGAATAAAATGTAAGAGGATTTTAGAAGAGGAATTGTCCTCTTAAAACAACAATATTTCTTTTTCGGTGTAGTCTATTGAGAAAAAAAAGTCAGTTTTTGAAAATATATCGAAAAAGTCATATTTTATACGAGAACTGAAATTTTCAACTTTTATACTTACTTTTCGAGACTTTTGTACTTTCCGTTTCCGAATCTGATGATATTTGTATTGCTTTTTGCTGTCCCGTCTCTTCGTTAGCTACATAAAAAAAAGGAAGAGAGAATAAAACAAAATTTTTTTTTGCAATTCTTCGATTTCTATTAATTAATGAATTTAAATGAATACTCACTTGAATTTAGATTCGGAACTTTTGTACTTTTAATTTCAGAATCCGAGGAATTTGACGCTAATTGAATTTGTTCCGTGTTTAATTTTACCTTTTCGGTCTCTTCTTTTTCTGTAAAATGAAAATAATTGCATTTTCTATTTTATTCGTTTTTTTAACAAGAGGAATAAAATATCGTATATTGTAAATTTTTTTTATCTTTTATTTCGAAATATATTTTAAATATAATGGGAGCAATTTTTATTTTATTTATTTTTTTGTATTTATAGTAGAGTCAGCGACGCTCGATATCTCCTCTAAATGCGAATGGAGAATGTGGTGGCAATATCAGAGGGGGGTAAATGGTGAAAATAGCGAATCGAGAGGAGAAAACAGTTTTTGAAAGCGCAAGCAGTATAACGATGAGAAAGTTGTTAAAGAAAAGAAACATATATTCCATGTTTCTTGATAGGAAATAAATATAAAAATGTGTTTTTGAAATCATAATTTTTTTATACTCTTGAAAGTAGTGATGATATATTTTCTTATTGGAATTTTATTTACTTTTTTTCTCTCTCTCTCTCTCTCTCTTTCTTTCTTTCTTTCTTTCTTTCTTTCTTTCTTTTTTGCAAATCTCGTGTGAATATTTGAGATTTCATCAGAGACTGAACCAGATGTTTCAATAATTTCAAAATACGCACAGTAATATCTTTTATTTGTCAATAAAAATAGATTTTTAATAAAATTTTCAAATTCCGAACAAAATAAATTGTTTATTTTTCAATTTCTTAATATAAGTATCTCAAAATTAAACTTGGACAATTTTTTTAGAAATTGAATTTGGGAAAGATTTTTAGAAAAATTTCATTTAATTAAAAACTATTTTAAGATCTGATTTAAGAAACTCACAAACTTATTCTTTTCTTTTGGAGAAAAAAACATTATTTATATTCCCGTTTCTTAATATTTTTGTAGAAAATTCCCAATTTTCATTAGGAAATAATTTGCATCATTTCTATTTCTTAATTATAATTGTTTTAATAAAATTCAAAGTTTTTTAAAAGTAAAGGAAAAAAATTTTTATAAATTCTATTTGTCAATTACAAATTTTAATTGAAAATGAAATTCAAAATTTTTGAATTTTTAGAAAATAAAGGAAAAAATTTTACTATAAAACTGTAACTTATTCAAAATTATTTTCATCATTTCAATTCAATTATTATTTTTTAGAATTTTTAACTAAAATTCTTCTCTAAGTCAATTACTTTTAATAATTTTTAGAAAAGTTCTTTGATAATTTTCAAATCCATTATTTTGTTTAAAATTCAATTTTACGAAATTTCGATTATTCGGAAGTTCTTCAATTAAATATATATTACAAAATAAAAACTTCAAATAATTTTTTAAAAAATTCAATTAAACTTTTTCCAAAAAATTAATTCTACAAAATTGTTAGCTAAAAGTATGAAAAAATCAAATTTTCAAACACTTTAATTTGAAACCTTTTCAAACTTCACTTATTTCTATAATGCTTTTAATATTCAATTTTTATATAATATTTTAACTGAAACTCATGTATAAATAAATTTTTATTAGAAAATTCTACGAGAATTCAATTATCAAAATACAAAAATTAATAAATTGAATGTTCCTTAAAATTAAGTTCTCATAAAGAATTTTATGGACAAATATTTAAATAATTGATTTCTTTCGACGAATTTTGATAAAATTTTTAAGAATAATTACATTTTTCGTGGAATTTAATTAAAATATAATTAAAAATAATTTAAATTTTGCGATGAGTTTTCTTATTTATGTAAATAAATTAATAAATAAATCCCTGAAAAAAATTTATTATTTACGAAAGTAATTGAATCGCTGTAAAAAAATTAATATTTATGAAAATATGGAATTATTGGGAAGAATTTTATTAAAATTTTTGAAAATAATTGAACTGAGGAAAATTTTTTAAAAAAATTGAAATTTTGTCAAAAATTTTATTAAATTTTTTAAAAATAATTTTATTTTACAGAAGAATTTTATTATTTATAAAGATAATTGAAATTTTGACGAGAATTTAAAAAAATTTTTTAATATAGGGTAAGTGCACTAGTTTCTGCGGCATTTCAGCCAAGATATCTTTTGCATATAAAAAAAATATTTATAGCAAAGGAATTAAATTAAAAATTTAATAAACTAATTGTTTGTATTCTTAAGAAATTTTTACAACAATTAATTGCCTATAAAATTCTAGCATTTGATTAAATTTAAATCATTAAAAAGAGTATCAAAAGCGTATAATCCTGCGCGCTGTGTCAATTACTGCGCGTCAGTTTCTGCGGCCAAAATAACATGCATTTAGATATCATTTTGCCCGCAGCAACTAAAGCCCATGTATTTCATATTTAATTTATGCAATCATTTGTAACTTCTTTAAAATTCAATTTTTTTAGTGTTTTTAACTAAAATTCTTCTCTAAATTCGTTATTTTTAATAATTAATTAAATATAAAAATTTTAACTATTTTCAGAAGAATTTTAATTATTGAAATTTTTCAAAACACTAAGTTCTTTAACATTTCTAATTAAATTAATTAAAAATTGAAATTTTATAAAATTTCAAATTAAAACATTTTGAAGTTGCTCTATTCATGAATATTGTAAACGCAATTCTTTTAAAATTCAATTAAAATCTTGAGATATTGAAGTAAAATTATTCATTAAATAATTTCTAAGTAATAATTTTATGATAGTTGTTCAAGAATTAAGTTATTTAAAAAGAAATTATTGTCAGAAGTGGAAAAAATTGAATGTTTTGTATTAGAATTCGTGGTAATTTCATAGTTTATAAGACAAACAAAAAAGACATCAAAATTCATAATTTTTTTTATGAATTCTGAAAGTTTAATTTTTTCCAGTAATTTTAATAAACATCCCTGACTATTTCCCGAATTCCCTGTCTCAGAATATATGATTATTATTATTATAGTATTAAAACTAAATTCAAATTTTTTTATGAAAATAATTTTGAATTAAAAATTTTTATATTCATTATTTTTAAAATTGCTAATTTTATTTAAAAAATTGATAAATTGATATATTTTTGTCAAAAAAAGTTATTACAAAGTCTCTTGATCGAAAAATTTTTACTTAACAATTGATTTTATTCATTGGTCATAAAGTTCTTTTTTATTCGTCTTGAACGAACAATAACATAGAATATAGTATAAAAAATTAAAAATATAAAAAAATGTCCTCTACCTTAGATAAAATTTTTTTTTTTTTACAACAAAAAAGAAAAACTGAGTTTATGTTGTGGAAAAAAATTCTTACCAAGGAGGTCAGCATTGTTCTTTTTGTAGTATTTTCTCAAATTCTCGAGCACATCGTCGTCGTCGTCGGAATCCGAATCGATCGTGGTTAACTTCTTGGGCTCTAAGGACAAGTAAATAAAAAGAAAGTAAAGAAAAAAGAAAGAATGTCAAGGAGATGAAAGGGTACTTAAAAAAAGGGAGTAAAAAAAGGAGCTTAATATCTTTATATACGAACCTTCAGTAATGAATTCACCTCTCAGTGCAGCTTCAATGAGATTGCAGCGTTTCTTGATGGTGGCCGGAAGCATTTCGGCCGGTATTCTCCAATAGGCTTGCTCATGGTCCGGATGTTCAATTCCCATTGCGCGAATAAGTCGTTGAAAACTCGGCGAATCCATTGCCGCCGATGTTTCGCTGGTCAATGGCACGAGGGCAATTCCTTCATCACTTTCCTCGTCCCTATCTTCTAAGGATTCTTCCAAACTTTCCTTGATCCACTTCAACGCCTCCTGCATGCCTAATCAAAAAAGTTGAAATGTCATCAACGTCACGAACTTCTATTTTCAGCATTAAGAAAATTTTATTTCTCCGGGATATAGTAAAATTCGTTTTATTTCAATATATTAAACTAATTTTTTAAAATTGTTATTATATTAGGTATTATTATCTATCTATATTAATAATCGTGGTATTCCGGTAATCTGTTTGCAGTTTTAAGTTAGTTGCTGTATGCTTTTTTATCTCCAAACTTTTAAAATTATTTTCCTTTTTAAATGTTTTCAATTTTAAAATTAATGTACTGAAAATCATTGAATTCTTGCAAAGTATTTATCAAAAAATTTGAAAATAATTGAATTCATTTCAAGAATTTTATCAACATTTTTTTCAATAATTGAATTCTTTCGAGAAAATGTAATTCAAATTGTATTGAAAATAATTTAATTCTTGTCAAGATTTTTATTTTAATTCTTTAATTGTTTTAAAGAATTTATATCAATTTTCTTGAAAATAATGGAGTTTTTTTAAATAATTTTTGCTGATAATTTTGAAAGTAATTGAATTTTATGAAGATTTTCTTTTATGTTTTTTAAATAATCGTGTTTATTAATAACTGCCCTACAACGGAAAAAGACACATAAGCGACATTTTGGTGAAAAATAAGTTTTTGGTATCAACGGATTCGTAATCAAAAACTGCATCTAACTATCGTAATTAAAATAAAAAATTAAAATTATTTATAGTAAAAAATTAATATTGAAAATATTGGAATTCGCGAAAAATGAGAAATTGCAATGGAAAAAGACACATGAGGTACTTTGCGTGGTCCAGAATCTGCAAAAGGCAGGAACTACGTCACAAAATACAGTGTGAAAATACACACAAAGTCGTTTGCGTTCTTTTTCCATTGTAAATACTGCCGAGTTGGGCTTCGTTTGCGAAACCACATCTGCAAGGGCGCATGTGTATTTTTTTAGTTTGTAAACTCAGTGACCCAGGTGCGATTTTTTGGTCGGCCCATAGTTGGGCCAACTTTTACAAAGTCGGTCCAACTTCTCGTGCCAGAGGTTGGGCCAACCATACAGATGATAACGGTCGCCGTCTAATGGCGACGATGGTTGGCCCGACAACTCATAAGGAAGTTGGCCCAACTTACAATGCATTTGTTGTGCCAACTATACATTTCAATGGTTGGTCCAAAGACTGACGCCCAAGTTTGCACAACTTTAGATGCGTAAGTTGGGCCAACCACAATTTTCAAAGTTTGGCCAACTTCAACAGCCAAAGGTAAAAAATTATTAAAAAACTAAATTATTTAAACAATTAACAGGTTATTATTAGCGGGAACATCAAATATAACCTTTACCTATTATTATTAAACACAATCTCATACATACATTTTCGAAAATATCTAACGCTCTCTGGGATCGAACCCTTAACCTAACGCACCGAAGACTTATACACTGACCACTACGCTACGCTCACATAGGAGTGCATAACGCAAAATGTATATTAAAGCTGCAACAGTCGGGCCAACCGTGGCCCAGAGTTCAGCCAACCAAGAAAAATCAAGTCAATAAAACTGCGTTTCACAAAGTTTTGCCCACCGTCGGGCCAACCGTGGCCCAGAGTTTGGCCGACCAAGAAAGTTTAAGTCAATGAAACTGCGTTTCTAGAGTTTTGCCAACCGTTGGGCCAACCGTGGCCCAGAGTTCGGCCGACCAAAAAACTATAAGTCAATTATACTGCTTTTCTTGAGTTTTGCCAACCGTCGGGCCAACCGTGGCCCAGAGTTCGGCCAACCGAAACTGAAAGTCTTTTAAACTACGTTTTGATGAGTTGTGCCAACCTTTGTCGCCAAAGTTGGCCTGACGGTTGGTTAAACTCTGCATTTAATGGTTGGCTTGCAAAGTCAGGCCAACTGTGGGCACTAGTACTTGCCAAAGTTGGGCAAACTCTGGCAACCAAAACTTCGCTTGCCAAAGTTAGGCCATCCTTGGGCCAACCTTCAAACTCTGGCGGCCAACCTAAATTCGCACCTGGGGAGTAGAGCAAAGATGTCCAGCGGAAACTATACGCAAGCGACATCGGTTTAACTCGGAACTGTGTTTCGGGAACGTTCAGAAATAAACTATACTTTCACTCGTGCTTTGCGTATGTTTCTTCGCTGGACATCGTTGCTCCGCTCGATGACTTTACAACGAAAAACTCCGCAAGCGACTATGTGTTCTTTTTACGTTATATTTGTGATAAAAAAACTTCACAAGTGCATTTTTTAACAGAGATTGTTTAAATAATTAATTTTTTTACACAATTAGAAAAAGCGCATGCTATTTACCTTAGTAAGGATATTTTTATTCATGAAACATGAGCTCTAAATGAAGTTTTTAACGCAAACGGTTTTTCTCAAATATCTCCGTTGGACCTATTTGTCGCTTATGTGTCTTTTTCCGTTGTAGGGCAGTAATAATTGTATGCATACATAGAAAATTAAATTCTTTTAAACAATTTTATTAGAGTTTTTGTAAATAATTACATTTTTTTAAGAATTTCATTAAATTTCGTAAAAATAATGTAATTTTTTTGAATAATTTTAATTGCTAATTTTGAAAATAATTAAAATTTACGAAGAATTTTATTAAAAAATTTTTGAGAACAGTTAAATTATTTAGAAAAATTTTATTACAATTTTTAGAAATAATTGAACCTGTTAGAGAAATTCCATTAAAATTATCTTGAATATAATTGAATTTTTTCTTAAAAATTTTATTAAAATTGCATTGAAAATAATTAAATTCATCAGAAGAATTTTATAATTTATAAAAATAATTGAATTGTTTCGAAGAATTTTATCAGAATTGTTGAAAATAATTGAATTTAAATAATATTTTTAAAAATAATAGTATTCTTTCGAAAATTTTTATTAAAATTGTATTGAAAATATTTGAATTCAGAATTTTATTATTTGTGAAAATATTTTAATCTTGCAAAGAATTTTCTTATTTTATGAAAATATTTGAATTCTTGCGGAGGATTTTACAGTTTATAAAAAATTGAATTGTTTCGAAGAATTTTATCTGAATTTTGAAAATAATTGAACTTTTTGAAGGAATTTTATTAAAATTTTTGAAAATAATGATTTTTTTAAAAGAATTTGATCAAAATTGGCGAAAATAAGTGAGAATTTATAATAAAGTTCTTGAAAATATTCGAATTTAATTAATGTTTTTAAAAATAATTGTATTCTTTCGAGAAATTTTATTAAAATTGTATTGAAAATAATTTAATTGCTCCAAAAAATATTATTATTTATGAGAATAATGAAATTCTTGTAAAAAATGTTATTACAATTTTTAAATAATAATAAACAAGAATATTTCATATTCTGTACTTAATAAGTGAATTCTTTAAATTTTGAATCTGTAGGGTCATTTGGGGTAAATGTAAACAGTAGATGTTTCAGCTAAATTTACAAATTTAAAAATAAGTACGACGTCAATATTTTTACCTCAGCTCACCTACAAGATGTTCTGAGTATTGCCAATATTTTATTTTGACAATTGGCAATGACATAGTTTCGTAGTTTTCGCTGTCATCAGTGGGCGAATAGTTACACCCCATCCGCCCATTTTTTGAAAAAACACTTGTAAAATTTTTGAACAATAGAATATCAAAAATCCATTATGATATTCGTGTTCAGCACTAAATTTGACTTTAGAAATAATTTTTCCGATAATTTTTCCGACCGTTTATCACTATTTACAGTGTCAGACTAAATGAGTGAAAGCAAGTAAGCAAGTATATCAAAATCACATTTGGGTACCTAACTCTTATGATAGATGGCGCCAGAAGCTCAAATGTGGCATACAACGTTTATTTCACGTTATAAGTATACAGTGTAAAAAAAACTTTAATCGGATGAATAGTTTTCTCTCCAGGACTAAAAAATAGTTACGCCCCGCGAATAGTAATGTCCCACCCTACCCTACATACTATATTTAAATCAGTGACTGATTTTTTACTATCAAATTAATTATTTTTAACTCAAATTTAATTCAAATTTAGAAAACAGTATAAATATCTATAAAAATTAAAAAAAGCGATTTTTTAAAAACAAATTAAAATAATAAAACTATTTTTAAGTTGGTGAAAAAATTCACGGTTTGGCATAAAATGTCTGGCTTATTCTCGGTTTTTCCCGGTCGATTAAAATTCCCGGCTATTTCCCGGTTAGTACACTGAGAGAAGAAAAGCACAGATTCTGAAATAGAAAAGTTCAGCATCTGTACTGCAATTGAACGCAGCAGCAGTGCCACTGTGTGATAGGTGTCGTGCTAAAATGTGAAACGGATTTTGACTTTGGCTTGAGGTACAGATGTTGTACTTCAAATGCTACTGTTTAGAAGTACAGTATCTGTCGGTCGCTATGAAACAGATCCTGTACTAATTAGTTCGTACTGCCGCCGTGCTGCTTGAGCATAGTATCTGAACTATGAACGACACCAACTGAATAAAATTAAGAACGGGCACTGACACGCATTTTACACGGCCGGTGTTTGTCACAGTACGGATTCTGTGCTTTATTTCTTCTCGCAGTGGAGACACCCTGAGAAACGTCTAAATTGGGAATTTTTAGATACAAAATTTTTAAGTCCCTTCCTAATTTGTCAAAAAAGTTTAACAAAGAATATTATACCATTAAAATAACTTATTACAATAATTTTTGAAAATAGTCATCTGCCATTTTGAATTTTCAAAAACTTACTACAGATTCGTAATCAGCGTCCGAGAAAACCCCTAGATACCATGTTACAAACAAATCCAACTTTAAGAAAAATGTATGCATTTGGAAACCACTTTTCCGGTGAAAAACTGAAAAGTCATGCTCTAGAGGGTTAATTTGGAAATGTAAAATTACATAGAAAAGGAAATTAGATCCTCTTTGAAAAGAAAAATTTGATAAAAAAAAATAAAAAATTTTTTTTTTTTTTTTGAAAATTTGATCAATTTTTAAAAATATTTTTAGGTTCATCCGCCATTTTGAAAATTTAAAATTTGACTTCAAATTCGTATTCAGCGACCTCAAAAACCCCCGAGTAGCCAGATTCAAGCAAATTTGATCAATTTTTAAAAATATTATTTTTAGGTTCATCCGCCATATTGGATCCACCATTTTGAAATTTAAAAATTCGATTTTAGATTCTTATTCAGCAAAATAAAAAAAAACTTCTTTTTACCAAGTTGAATGAAAATCTATTAAAATTTGTTCAAGTTATTCAAGATTTTATATTACTAATTTTGTAATGGTTGATTGTTTATTTTGTATGATACATTATCAGTCAACTGGTTGATTTACTATACATCTACGAAGAATTTTTTTCAGTTTTTCCATCCCTTAAAACAGTAGTATACTTGAAATAACTTGTTTCTTAAACCTCGCTTAACTAGAGTGGTGCCCAGTAAAAAAAATTCGATACACGGACCGCGGAGTTCGTATATGAGCTCGGTAGCTCGTATGAGAAATATGAGAAAACTCTCATACGAGCCTTTTCCGTAATGAGAAGTGTATAGATGCTTGTATACGAGGTGACTTTTAAAGCATTTTTTTTAATATAACACTATTTTAAAGTAAATGTAGATAATAGAAATGAATTTTCAAAGTAAAACAAAGCTAAATTTATAAAAGAAATGAAGTTTTAAGAAAAAAGGATAATTTTATTCAAAAAATTTATTCACACTGAAAACAGGTTAGAATTTGATAATTCCTTGTTACTCTAACTAACCGACATTAGATATTTCTCGTATACGGTAAGCAGATTTTGTATTAAATTTAATTATTTTATATAAGAACATTTATATAATAAATAAATAATAATATATTATTAATTAGTAATGAAAAAAACTTATTTATTCTACCGCCAATACAAAATCGTGCTTACCGCATCCGAGAAATATCTAATGTCGGTTAGTTAGAGTAACAAGGAATTATCAAATTCTAACCTTTTTTCAGTGTGAATAAATTTTTTGAACAAAATTATCCTTTTTTTCTTAAAACTTCATTTTCCTTATGAATTTAGCTTTGTTTTATATGAGAAAATTCATTTCTATTATCTACATTTACTTTAAAATAGTGTTACATTAATAAAAATGCTTTAAAAGTCACCTCGTATACAAGCATCTATACACTTCTCATTACGGAAAAGGCTCGTATGAGAGTTTTCTCATATTTCTCATACTAGCTACCGAGCTCGTATACGAACTCCGCGGTCCGTGTATCGAATTTTTTTTACTGGGTGTTTACATTTACCCCGAATTTTAGAAAAATTTCAAAATCTCGGGGTAAATGTAAACAGTCAGTTTTAGGCGATTCAGGTGCATCAATATTTTTTTGTACCTCATCAAATTTTTCTAGGGAACTCTAGTAACAAGTTCATGTAAAAAAGAAATCCGTCCGTTTTACCTTTTTACAAAAAAAACTAATGTTTTTGGTGAAAAATAGATATTCCGTTTACATTTACCCCAATTGACCCTAATCATTCAAAAACTGATGTTCATTCTTGAAGATATACAATTTTTTAACTTACAAAATAAATTAAGGGGACACCCAAGTCACCTAAAAACAATGCAAAAAGAGTCAACTTTCGGTACACTTTTCTCGAAAACTATTATTCCAATTGCGTTCGCCCTTTTTTCATTCGATTACAAATATAATCAATTATATGAATAAGAAGTAATACGACGTTATCTTCAATAGAAACTTTTTTATGAATATTTATACCAAAAGCAAAATAAAAATCCCATTTTCTCTGATTCATTGACTCATATCTCCGTTTGTACAACTCAAAATGATGTTAAACTTCTTATTCGTATTCTTGGAACCTTACTGAACAAAGTAAAAAAAAAATTACAAATCGGTTTAGTAGATTCGGAGAAAAGTGTACCGAAAGTTTAAAAATTGGAAAAAAACAATTTTTATAGGAGACACGAAAAAAGAAAAAATACTAAAAAGTCATAGTATTCAGAATCATGTAATCAGATTTTTTTCAACTCTTCAGAAAAGGTTTTAAAAAGTCTTGTTCTATTCCTAATTCAGTCTACTTTTAAAAAATCAAATAAAAAAAAATCGATTTTTTTGTCATTTTTCCACTTAGGTGTCCCCTTAACTCAATAAAGAGGTACAGTTGCAAGTTTTAAAAATAATTAATGATTTTATGGATTTTTTATTTTTTTATTTAAATAATTGCAAACTTGTAGTTAAATTCTGATAAAAATTGATTTAAAAAAAATTTTTCGGTAAAACTTTAGAAAATAAAATAGAAGTGTTAAAGTAGGATTCTTTAAAAATAATTAAATTTTAAAAAGTTATTAAATTTCAATCTTTGAAATTCTAATTGCTGTAAAAGTATCATAATATTTAAATATTAAAAATTATTAATTTCTTAGCTTCCTTAAAAATTAAAAGTTTTCAATAATATTATTCAAAAATTCTAAAAAACAATTGGATTTCGGAAGAATTGCCGTTCAAATTATTATACAAGATTTTTCAAATGGTTATACATTGAAAATATTTTTAAATTTTAAGCAAATAAAGAACAATAAGTATTTACAAATATTTATTTTACAAAATTGATGGAATTTTGAAAGATTTAATTTGTAAATTCTGAATAATAATAATGATGTCATAATTATTATTATAATAATTATCATTAATTATAATAAGTTAATATTAGTAAATAATAATTACTAATAAATTAAATTTTTCATATTGTTATTAAATAATATTTTGTTGCATTGATTTATATAAAAAGAAGATTAATTTGAAAAATGGTGAAAAAATTGAATTTACCATTATTAATCACGTCCTTCAACAATCCTGATAATTGAGCATCGGAGTAAATAAACGTGGATTTCTTCGTTTGCTTCCGTTTCTTTTGTTGTTTCCTTGAAGTTGATGGAACGTTTCGTGAAGATGTCGATCCATCTCTTTCAGAATCATCATCAGAATCTGTTCCGGAATCACTTCCCGATCCAATTTCCCATGATGATTTTGGTTCTGTAATATAAAAAAATATATTATTTAAAAATTGAAAAGAAATCATTACATTTTTTTTACTTAATAAGCTTTCGACTTTTTATCCCAAACTATTTTTCTGAAAATTAATTTTTTCAAATAGGTATATTATTCTAAACAGACATATATTTTCATATAGGGGAGAGTGGGGCAAGACGGGGTACTTAAGGTTTAAAGCGCAAAAAACGAAAATTATCGAATATACCTATACTTTATTATTATTTTTAATTATCATTTTTGGGAATCAGTCTTTCTTAAAAAAGGCGTACAAAGGCCATCTGTTTCTTAAAAAAGCTTATAATTAATAATATTGAAAAAATTAAAAATCTCCCCATCTTGCCCCACCGGCGGGTAAGATGGGGTACTAACAAAAAACAACCTATTTCTGTCGACAAATTTCACAAGTAAAGGTTGCATCTTCATCTTCGTCATTGACACCAGCACAACTGCAGTGAGCCCATTGGCCGCAGACAAAAAAAGCAGCCCAGTCTTCATTTGAGTCTAAATAATAACCATTACAATAGAGACAAGGTGTATTTTCCACTTTACCATCGCTAATTGATGATTTAACCTGACAAGCTTTTTTCTTTTTGGTCACTCTTATTTTATTCAGTCTTGATTTTAGTTGTTTTCTTATCTTCTCTTATTTCTCTTTTCTTTTGCTTAATTTGTGTACCCCATCTTGCCCCACTCTCCCCTACCCCATCTTGCCCCCACCTACGAAATTAAAGAAAAAGGTTAATTACTACAATTTACGATTCAACAAAGAAAAAAAACATATGCTTCCCTTCTTCTGTAACCCTTGCCAGTTAGAAAAAAATGTATACAGTTCATTAACTGTTATTATTAAATAATAAACACCTCCTAAAAAAAGTGAAAAAATGACAAGAAAATCGTCGAAAACAGTTTTTTTAGTAAAACAGATAAAAGATTTGTTCTCATGGCTTTTAGATTTTGTAAACAAGAAACTATCGTCTCGGTGCAGTATTATGTAAAATATAATCGCGATTGGTTAATTCGTTTCTTAAATAGGGCCGGTACCCCGTCTTACCCGCATCCCCGTCTTGCCCCACTCTCCCCTACATTGAAAAAAATTAACTCGATTCAAATAAACGATTACTTGCCTTGTCTATTATTACATTTATTTTACATAAAACTAGCTATTGATGTTTTGGTGTCAATATTTTTTCTTTATACCTCGGTCGAAAGTACGTACTTCCCGCTTAGACTTCGCTGCAGAAAGTCAAACATTTACGCTTTGGTTGATATACACACACGCCCTCTATTACAGCGGGAGTAAAAGAATTCTTTGTCGGTAAAAATATCAATGTCGGTAAATAAGAAAATTGTGAGTTCCAGAAAATTTAACGAATTTTTTTTATTTTAATATATAAAATGAGAATAAAAATTAACAAGAAGATTTGAGAAGATTTGAGAATATAATATTAATTTATTTTGTTGCCCGTGTATTATTATAAATAAATCAATAAATTTATCTTTCACATTTTTTTTCGTGCCTGCCCCCGACCAGAAGCACTCGCTTCGCTCGTGCTTCAAATGTCGGGACAGGCGTTGAATGTAAGAGAGAGACAGAGAAAAAACCAAAGCTTAACGAGCGTCCGCTAGAGGCGTTGAAGCGGGGAGCGAAAGTAAATAAAGATGGCAGGCTGTCAAATTAATCACGAATAATTCACGATTGCAATTTTCTTAAAAAATAAATTAACGGGCGTACTTTCGACCGTATATAAAGAAAAATAGTATACATTAAACGGGCAGAAATTTTGGAACCCTTCACAGTTCGATGATGCCCTCGGCTTCGCCTCGGGCATCATTTCGCACAGTGCCGGAATTCGAACTTTCTGCCCTTATAATGTAATATACTATTTCTGGAAATCAGATAAAAGTCAGAGAAAAACAAAATTAAATTTTTGTGGCAACCCTGTAATATTGCGAAAAAATATTGAATTCTATCGCATTTGCTGTAAATTTTACATTTTATTCACCAAAATGCGAATGGGTTAAAAAAAGATTCATGATTATTACAAATTTTCAGTGATCTATTAAAGAAGAGTTGAGATTTCCCTCTCTCCCCCCCTCTCTCTTGAGGATAATATAAAGGACTATAAAGGATAATACATGAGCAATTTTACTTGCGGACCTTTAATAATAAGTCCTCATGTATATTCCATTTCGTTTATTGATTCACTGAAATGTGCACATGTAACGAAATGAGACTTCTTCTTCCTCCCACTCTATTGTCAAAAATGTAGTAAATCCTTAAAAGTATTTTTTATTAAGAAGAAAAGAACGATAGATGTTTATGTATGCAGTAAAATTTTATAAAAATTCCCCCAAGTGCTTTCTTCTATGCCATGGGAAAAACAACCTTTAATATTTCATATACCTCTGCTTTTACCTCTGCTATCCGATCTATTGCGATGCATTGAATACAAATGAGGTTCGAGAGTGAGAAACAATTTCTATGGTAAATATGAAATTTTCTGCAACGCCACCACAAGAGACAAACAGCAATTCTCCCTCCCCCCTGTTGGACTAAGTAACAAGGTTGTTTTAATTATCATCACTAGATTAAAAAAGACAAAGGCAAATTTACCTTTTTATTATCGTATAGATTATTTTCAGAAAAATTTTTCAAAGCTTTTATAATTAGTTCAACATTTTTTTCTTTTTTTTATCTTCTGTCTTTTTATCTTTCAACCACGTTTTAAAATCCAGAATAACAATATCAAGCCGCATGATTTTTAAATGCAATTTTAAAGCATATAAGAGAAAAAAATTTCCTCCACAATAGGAAAATTTCTATTTTTTTATTTTTAAAATTAATTAACATTAATTAGTAATTATTAATTAATATTATATTTATAATAATAATAATTAATAATAATTATAATTACTAATAATTATTATAATAATAATAATAATAATAATAATAATAATAATAATAATAATAATAATAATAATAATAATAATAATAATAATAATAATAATAATAATAATAATAATAATAATAATAATAATAATAATAATAATAATAATAATAATAATCCCCGCCAATGGTTGTCCACTGCCGAACATGATCGATGTCTTCGATGTGCTGGGATTAGTGGATGCTTATCCGCTGCCAGACATGACTGACATCATGGATATGTTCGGTAGACCTTGCCGTGGTGGCGGGGCTTTTCACTAAAGGACAACCAAACAGAAAGAAACGAACATGATGAGCGACCGTCAAAAACAGGAATACCTGCAAGGTAATACTTCGGTTAAATCCCTCACCGGTTCCGATTGTCAGGCGCCTAGCGTGGGGACAATGGCCGGTGGCCAGTGGATGCAGGAGGGCAACGCCGCACTGAAGGTTCTACAGATCATCGTGGATAGGTTGGATCCACAAAACATCGTGGACAGAACAAGAAGAGGAAGTAGAAATAGTCGACAGAGTGTGTTGAGTGGCAGCAGCGGGAGGTCCGCATTCGAGACGCATGCTTTATTCCCGAAATCTTTTTTGACCAAATAGTTATTTGATATAAAACTACTTAACTTAAAATCCACATAATATGCACATTATTTGACATAAATTTCATTGCACACAAAAACCATTTAACATAAATATCATTTGTCATAGAATTCATTACACAGAAATATTATGTAACATAAAACTCAGATAACTTAATTCCCATTTGACATAAAAATTATGTAACATAAATTTCTATTGACATAAAAATCATTTAACATAAATTTCTTTTGACATAAAATTCATTTAACGTAAATTTTATTTGTTATAAAATTCATTTGACATCAATTTCATTTGGCATAAATGTCATTTAACGTAATTCTCATTTGACATAAATATCATTAGACATAAAATTAGCTTGACATAAATTTCATTTGACGTGAATATCATTTAACATAATTATTATTTAACGTAAAATTAAATTTATATAAATTTCATTTAGCATAAATTCTATTTAACATAATTCTCATTTGGCATAAAATTAACTTGACATAAATTTCGTTTGGTATAAATCCCATTTAACATAATTTTCATTTGACATAAAGTTCACTTGATATAAATTTCATTTGACGGATAACTCATTTCACATAATTCTCATTTGACATAAAATTCAGTTGTCATAGATTTTATTTTACGTAAAGATCATTTGACATGCAAATATAGGCGCGAATTTCAAAATTGGCGAATCACAATGTTGTTGATAATATCTATTTGGTTACTTTTAAAATTCGCGCCGATATTGTTATGTAAAATGTAATTTGTGTAAAATGATTTTTATGTCAAATGAGAATTTTGTTGAATGACTTTTATGACAAATGAGAATTGTGTTAAATGTCTTTTATGTCAAATGAACTTTATGTCAAATGAAAATTATGTTAAATGGAATTTATACCAAATGAAATTTATGTCAAGTAAATTTTATGCCAAATAAGAATTATGTTAAATGGAATTTATGCTAAATGAAATTTATATAAATTTAATTTTACGTTAAATAATAATTATGTTAATTGATATTCACGTCAAATGAAATTTATGTCAAGCTAATTTTATGTCTAATGGTATTTATGTCAAATGAGAATTACGTTAAATGACATTTATGCCAAATGAAATTGATGTCAAATAAATTTTTTAACAAATAAAATTTACGTTAAATGAATTTTATGTCAAAAGAAATTTATGTTAAATGATTTTTATGTCAATAGAAATTTATGTTACATAATTTTTATGTCAAATGGGAATTAAGTTATCTGAGTTTTATGTAACATAATATTTCTGTTTAATGAATTCTATGACAAATGATATTTATGTTAAATGGTTTTTGTGTGCAATGAAATTTATGTCAAATAATGTGCATATTATGTGGATTTTAAGTTAAGTAGTTTTATATCAAATAACTATTTGGTTAAAAAAGATTTCGGGAATAAGCATGCGTCTCCCGCATTCAGCCCCG